TAATAATATATATTTCTCTAAATCTATATATGTTTCTGTCTGATTGATAAATACATATATATATATATATATATATATATATATATCAGACAGAAACATATATAGATTTAGAGAGATAGGACAATTTGCATTTGTCCAGTTTTGTGCAGAGAATAATGAATAAATGAAAGTAAAAATTATACTGGATTGGCATCCTAGTTAATAAAGCTCTATGTACGATACAACAAAATGTAATTTCTCAAGGAATGGAAACCTTCCAGGCTAATGCAGATAATGCAGGACTCTGTAATTGGCAAAGCAGTTATTTCAAGCATACAATGAATCATTATTTCAGAACATGCAGATAAGTTTGGAAGTTAGGAGAGGAAGGACACCATTTTAAGAGTGAAGTTACTCATGGAAAAAAACAAAACAATCCATCGACAATATTAAAACAAACATATCACAGCTACCTATCTGTGCTGCTGAGGTGCCCTTAGGGTATTCCACATCCAAAATTAGCTGCTAGGAGTTAGTGGTATGCTTTAGGCTTTGATACTTTTAGTACATTTCAATTTGTGGAACTTCACTAATTGGTAGGGTACTAGGAATTATGTTTTTCGCTAGATCACAATGTTACAATATGTATTATTACTATTATTAAACCTTTTATTCCTGTGAAATTAAAGTTAAAATCTAGTTACATCCAAGCACTGCTCAATGATATCTTTACTAAGCAGGAATGTAGGAGGTATAGAACTCCACCATCTCTGCTAATTTCAAAGGCAAACAGTTGTCTTATATGATTTTGGGGTAGAGGCAAAAGCCCAACAAGCAGAGCATCTGCATAGACAGTTAGCATACCCTCACCTGCATTTTAATTTACCTGCCCCCTCTTACTGAAGAAAACTTCTTTTACATTTGGCATTCAGTGTAGGAATATTTATTATAGTATTTATTTGTGTAATAATTTGTTTCATTATATATATATATATATATATATATATATATGTATTTAATGGTCAGTATTGGGACAATACACTAAAATCACCAGATTATTGAAGCTTCAAAGAAATGAAGGAAATTTGATTGAATCAAAATTGAATCTGTCAAAGACATAAAGACAACAGACAAGAAATGAAATAGTACCTCTGCAAAGATGCTATAAACCTGGGCAAGGTCATACCACAAGGACACAGCATATAATATGTGTGGGGGTGTCTGCTGTTATCTTAAAATTGCTTACTGCATGGATGGTGATGTCATCTGGTCAATACTAAATTAAGACTAATACTAAATTGAGAATAATCCAGTTTGGAGGTGCTAAACTTGGTTATTAGATTTCTGTGAGTTTCCCTCTCAAACAGTAGATGCCACCATTGAATTTGATAAAAAATATATATATTCAGTGAGATACAATGAGTATGTACCTGTGTGTAGGGAGCACAGTGTATTTCTAATTGAACATGCGATGTTTATATCAATCAATAATGGGACTCGATAAACATATAATACACATATCCTGGGTTGAAAGCGTCCTAATAAAATTATTTTTTAAATCATTGTTATTTATTATTATAGTAGTGCATCAGGATGATTTGTGGAAAAAAAAACTAAAAGCATGAAATCAAAGTCCAAACCTAAAAAATGGTAAAAGCAAAGCGACACAAACCAATAACAAACAGCATATCTAAATGGAAATGACTTTGTGTAGATCTTATTAAATTTGATAATTTAATATAAAATATGTAGAGATTGGCAAGCGCAATTCTTATTTTATTAAGAGTCTATTTTCTTTGACTGTTTATTTCGGTTTTTTAGTATATACGTAAAACTGCATTCCACAGAACCACTTGCTTCCAATTCACATATGTTCAATTTTAATTTGTCTTGTTAAAATTGAGCTTGACTTGTGACTCGGTAAAGTCTAAAAAAAAAAAAACTAACAAGATTGAGAGAAATCGATTTTGTGGGAGATAAGCTTCAGGGACATTGTATTTTGAGTGGATTTGCCTGTTTAGTGAATCATTGTGAATACATTTGGGACCAATTTTCAAATGTATCTCTACACAGATTGTTCTAGGCCATATGAAAAAAAAGTCTCATAACTTTTTGTTGCTACTGAATAGTTCAGTATATTTTAAGTTGATTGCATAATGTATTTTTTAGATTTCTTGCATGAGGATTACCACTGAAAACATTACTAAACATGGCAAATAAATTTGCAGTGTCTTACATAAGTATTCATACCCAATGGGTGAGTCTGCATTTTGTACTGTTACTACCTGGAATTAAAATGGATGTTTCATACATAATATTCCCCTTGAAACAACACAAAATGGATATGTAACACTTAAAGTTTTTCAACATAAACTGGAGTTAAGATATTTTCCAGTTTCAACTTTAACTCTAAAGAAATAATACTTTCAGTGAAATATTCACTAGACTGAATTCTCAAGAATGGACCGGGCAGCTTGCTATTTTCTTATATTGTATATACTTTTTAGATTTTACTTTTTACCCTATATTTTTTAGGCATACAATTTTCAATTCACTTACCACTTAGTTACTGGTTGGCCTAGATTGATCATCAGGCAAACTGGCCGAGGACAACAGGGGAAACCAAATGATCTCCTGTGCCGGCTCATATAAGGCAGCACCAGTCCAATGAGGGCTCTCTGTCCCTTTCTTGGCCCGCGGCGATAGCACATATCTCTCTCACTGTCCTAGTGATCCTTAATGCCCTGTGAAATCCTGATACTTCAAGGGTGGGGGGAGTCGAGCAGCCTCTGCCCTCCAACTGCACCTCTGTTGGTTGTAGATCATGTGTATCTCTTGCCTGCTTTGGCAATTAGTGTCAGAGCATTGCTACAGCACTAAGTGTTGGAGCTCATGAGAGAAAGAGGAAAAGGGAAGCAGCCCACTGGTCCACCAGTGAGTGACATGTCCCTCTCTGCATAGTAACAACAAGAAGGAGGAATAAATGTTTTTTTTTTTTTAATAACTATTACATTTAAAAATAAAAATGGAATTAATAAAGCCCCTACCTCAACCCCTAAACACACACACAAAATCCCCTATAATAGCCTTGCTATTTTTTACAGACTATAAAATAGCTAACTTTATATTAACTTTTATGTAGTATGCATTCACATCAGGAGTAGTTCAATATATGAAAAAAAAGATATAGGGATTTACACACATCTTCAATTCATTTGGATACTACATTCTGTAGTGTTAAAGGGACTCTCCAGTGCCAGGAAAACAGTTGACTGCAGTTCCCCTCTCCATCCCACCCCCCATCCCATGTTGCTAAAGGGGTTAAAGCCCTTCAGTGACTTACCTGAATCCAGTGCCAATTTCCCTCTGTGCTGGTCCAGGCCTCGCCCATGCTCCTCCCCTGCCGATATCAGCCGGCTGGAAGACCTAATGCGCATGGCAATGACCACACGCTTGCATTAGACCTCCCCATAAGAAAGAAGTATTCAATAATTTATAAAAACTGTAATAATTACACTTGCAGGGTTAAGGGTGATGGGAGTTGGCACCCAGACCACTCCGATGGGCAGAAGTGGTCTGGGTGCCTGGAGTGTCCCTTTAAGGTGGAATTACATTTTTTTTTTTTTTTTGAGATGTTGTTATAAATCTAAGCACAAAAAAAGAAAACCACTGATGGAAAAAACGTTGTGTGCTAAAGGTTTTCTGGTGGCACCAGATTTATACTTTTTGACCCAGCACAAGAAAAATGAAACCAAATACAAGGCAATCTCAAATGAAAAACTTTTTTCATATGCTTGAACTGGGGTTGGGGTTCACCATTTAACAGGGTAATAACTAAAACAAACCACAAAAGTTACAGTAGTGTTTAAAATCCAGATCTATAATGTATTAGAATGTCAGGTTACATTGACCCAGCCACGCTATCATTGTGTCTGCCATTGTAAAGAGGATGCTTTTTGTTTTGTCAATACATTTTTTATTGAGGTAATTGCACAACACAAAAAAGCAAAGGAAAAAGCTTTAGCATAGACAAGTGAATCAAGGTATTGCAATACATCATATAATGTATACCTCATTTTTATGTATCTATACTGTATGAACACAAGAGGAATAAACACCAGACTAGCATTAGCCAGATAAGGCAGTGTTACGGAAGAGAGTGAAAAACGCTAGGCCTGGTGTATAACTTGGATCTGCACCGGTAAATAACAAATAAAAGGGATTAATATCCTTGGCAGTATTTGACCCATATGCATCAGCACCCTATTACCCTGGGGTGTAGGGGGGGGAGGAATGGAGTTTTGTTAAAGGCACACATGGGAATCGTGGGTAGTTGAAGTGGGAGAGTCGAGGATAAAAATGAGAAAGCCCCTACAGGCTTCAACCTGTCAAGTGGAGATTATGTAACTGAATAAATTAAAGATTATAAAGCAAAGCTAATAAAGCAAAATTAATCTGACTAGAGATAATGCAAAATATAGAGAATCACGGGAGCAGTTCGGCATCCTACATTAACACAGGGCTGTCAGAATACTCTTCACCCATCACCGGTTGCTTTCCTGGGCGTGAATGGCACCACATTATCAATGTCCCATTGTGGAGATGAGCTAGAGGCGGCCTCTGAGGCTAGTTGGTCGGGCAGGCCAGGTGCACCAGCTATGTCTTCCAGCCTGTGTTCCTTGCAATCTTGTGTGGCTAAAAATTGTGCATGGAAAGCCCCATCAATACCAAATTCCGGCAGCCTGTAAACGATGAGTTACTGAACGAGAGTAGCTCTGTTGAGGTCTTTGTAAAAAGACAGATTGGAGCTTTCAAAGCCCAGCATTTTTTTGTCTCGGAGGGCAGACATCACTGCCCTTTGATCGACAGTAGAACAGAATATGACAATCACGTCTCGCAGAGGAGCTGTCATTGGACTGTGAGGATGGCCCACTCCGTACACCTGCTTAGATGGCAGTAGAGAGGTGAATAAGTGTTGGATCTACTGAGTCAATTCTTCAGTGCAACTTTGCTCTCCACACCCCTAATCTTCAGGTTGCGCTGGCGCAAGGTGTCTTCCAGGCCAGCAACCTGGGGGGTGAGAGCAACATGTTGCTGCGTGAGCTGCTGGGTGAGTAGGGCAGTGTTGAGTTTGGCCTGACGGGCTGTCACAGATTTATCTTCCACAGCTTTTATGTGACTGGAGAGGGTATGCATTTCCTCATGGATCCGTGTGCAGTCTGCTTGGTACATTATTCGCAGTTCATGCAGGAGGTATTTAAGATCACCCTTGGTAGTTGGGGCACTGTCTTCATCTACCATTGTAGGTCTTTTGTAAGTCTTTGCATAAGTGGCCCTGGCTTCTGGGATTGTGTGTGTGTGACTTGTGCATGTGTGTGTGCTAGTGAGTGAGCTTCTGTTTGTGTGTGTGTGCTAGTGAGTGAGCTTCTCTGTGTGTATGTGTTGGCATCTGCTAGTGAGTGAGCTTCTGTGTGTGTGCATCTGTTAGTGGATGAGCTTCTGTGTGTGTGTGTGCGCGCGTATCTGCTAGTGAGTGAGATTCTGTGTGTGTGCATCTGCTAGTGAGTGAGCTTCAGTGTGTGTGTATGTGTGTGTGTGTGTGCATCTGCTAGTGAGTGAGTGAACTTCTGTGTGTGTGTTTGTGTGCGCATCTGCTAGTGAGAGTGTGTGTGTGTGTGTGTGTGCATCTGCTAGTGAGTGAGCTTCTGTGTGTGTGAGCATCTGTTAGTGAGGGAGTTTGTGTATGTATGCCTGCTAGTGAGGGAGTTTGTGTGTGTGTGTACCTTCTAGTCAGTGAGCTTCTGTGTGCATGTGTGCCTGCTAGTGAGTGAGCGTGTGTGTGTGTCTGCAAGTGAGTGAGCTTCTGTGTGTGTGTGCATCTGTTAATGAGGGAGTTTGTGTATGTATGCCTGCTGTTGAGAGAGTTTGTGTGTGTGTGTGTGTGTGTGTACCTTCTAGTCAGTGAGCATCTGTGTGCATGTGTGCCTGCTAGTGAGTGAGCGCGTGTGTGTGTGTGTCTGCTAGTGTGTGTGTATGTGTGTGTGTGTGCATCTGCTAGTGAGTGAGTGAACTTCTGTGTGTGTGTTTGTGTGCGCATCTGCTAGTGAGAGTGTGTGTATGTGTGTGTGTGTGCATCTGCTAGTGAGTGAGTGAACTTCTGTGTGTGTGTTTGTGTGCGCATCTGCTAGTGAGAGTGTGTGTGTGTGTGTGTGCATCTGCTAGTGAGTGAGCTTCTGTGTGTGTGTGCATCTGTTAGTGAGGGAGTTTGTGTATGTATGCCTGCTAGTGAGGGAGTTTGTGTGTGTGTGTACCTTCTAGTCAGTGAGCTTCTGTGTGCATGTGTGCCTGCTAGTGAGTGAGCTTCTGTGTGTGTGTGTGCGTGCATCTGTTAATGAGGGAGTTTGTGTATGTATGCCTGCTGTTGAGAGAGTTTGTGTGTGTGTGTGTGTGTGTGTGTACCTTCTAGTCAGTGAGCTTCTGTGTGCATGTGTGCCTGCTAGTGAGTGAGCGCGTGTGTGTGTGTGTCTGCTAGTGAGTGAGCTTGTGTGTGTATGTGTGCCTGTTAGTGAGTGAGTTTGTGTGTGTGTGTGTGTGTGTGTGCTTGCTAGTGAGTAAGCTTGTGTGTGTGCCTGCTAGTGAGTGAACTTTGTTTGTCTGCTAGTGAGTGAGCTTGTATGTGTGTCAGTGATCTTGTCTGTAGGGATCATGTCTGTGTGTGTTAGTGAGCTTGTGTGCAGGGAGCATGAGTGTTTCTGAGCTTGTCTGTGGTGAGCATGTGTGTATCAGTGAGCTTGTCTGTAGTGAGCATGTGTGTGTCAGTGAGCTTGTCTGTAGTAAGCTTGTGTGTGTATCAGAGTTTGTCTGTACTAAATTTGTGTTTGTGTACCAGTAAGCTTGTCTGTGTAAGTCATTGAGATTGTCTGTTTGTGAGCCTATTTGTGTGCATCAGTGAGCTTGTGTTTTTAAGTCAATTAGCTTATGTATATCAATGAGATTGTCTGTGAGCCTGTGTAGCTTGTGTCAGTAAGATTGTCTGTGTCTGCATATATACATATGTACATACCAAAGAGTTGTGGTGGGGAAAAAAGTGTGGATGAAAACCCCTTCCACCTAAAGTAAGTGGATAGTTAATACCCAGAATCCATTACAGTAGTGAGAGCACTGTTAAAGTGAGATTTCTATGGGAAAAGCAGGTCTTATGTCTTGACTGGTGTGTGTATTTGTGTTTAGCAATGTATTGAAAAAAATAAAAATATATATACATATTAAAACACATACACACTACATAGCACAATGACTTATTGGTCTGGCATAGATTTTTTTCCAGGGCTGCTTTGTATGCTCAGTCCGGCCTTGGATATCAACCAGGCTCCAGTTTGAGCTTCCCGTATGGCTATGAATGGGCTCAGCTGGGCAAATCACCCGGAGCTCACAAAGAGTGCGACTTAACACAATGGCTTTGCCCTCAAAAGGATCCTTTTTTATGAAGAATCAGATCACACGTGTTATGCTACCAGTGATACGGCTTGTGATGTCATGTAATGATACAGCAGAGACCTTTAGAATTTTGCATAATGACACTTGTGCATCATTTGAGTGTCATAATTGCCATTGCATCTTATACCTAATGCCAGATTATGTATTAATATTAACATAATAGTTTAAATAAGCAAATCAGATAATGAGGAAATAACAGTTATCTGACTTTTTAGCTTTTCCTTACTGACTCTACGAGCAGGCCAAACCCATATTATATGTATAATCTCATACAATCTTTTATGTTTATATTCAATATATATTATTTACATCACACTTTGTCAATCTTAGATAATTTACATTATAACATATCCTAGATAAATATACTAGGAAAATACAATTAACCATAAAAACAGACATCTAGTCGGGACTTTTTATCTTTTACCTGTGTCAGTGGTTCCGTTTTTGTGAACAATAAATTATATTAAATAAGGCATTTATAACTCTTTTTCAGTGTGTACCTTAGTAATTCCTCAACAAATGAAGTTAACAATCAACTACTTTATTTCATAAGATTACATTCAGTAACCACAAAAATATATTATACAAATTATTAATGTAGATAAGAAAATTGAATTCTAGAGTGAAATGCAGATTTACAATAAAATATCAAGCGGTTAGAACTCAGTGACTGTTAGTATACATAAAACTGAGTCAAGTTTGGCTTGTGCCATTATGTTATTAGAATAATAATGTGAAACAATTTAAATGAGCAGCTAGATTAAATGAAATACTTAAAAGTTTAGAGTTCTAGGTCCTTTAAGAAATTAATTATATTAAATATCCCCAGAGATATCAAATGAACCATAGGTAATTTACAGCTTAGTTCAGATGAGATCACATAGTTTAGATGAACTGCATACAGCCTATCCTAAATCATTATATCATCTTGCTAGGAGAGTGTATCCACAAATCGATGTCTCATCAATCTTTCAAAACCCATAATACATGCTTCCTTGTTTACCCCCAAAGATACTGTTGTAGAGTCCCAAACATTTTATCTTACATAGCGAGGGGTTTTACGGGGCTGAGTAATAAAGACAGGAGGACAGCGGCAAAAGGCTATGGGATTAGGGGGACAGAGGATTTAGTGGACAGAGTCACCATGACACAGTAGGGGAACAGAACAACAGAGTGTCAAAGGGTGAGCGGGACAGAGTGACACAATATACTAAGGGTATATGGGATTAGAGAGAAGTGAAGAAGACTGCACGAAACTCCAGGCTACTTCAGCACATTGCAGTGTATTTCAGGATATTTAGATAATTTAGCAATGTTATATATATTACAACCATCCTATAAAACCATTATACATAATTCTCAGTCATTTACTTTCTTATTTTCTTGTTAGTTGTCTTCTGAACTCTCACTGACCACTGACTCCCCCGAAGGCACACCAGCCCTGCCTTTGGCTTCTTCTCCCACAAACTCCTAAAAAAGGAAATAAACATAGAAGTAGAATGTGCATGTTTCCATGCGCAAGGCAGTATTTCTTCCTCTCTGTATCTGTTTTCTCTGGTTGTTTATTTGTATCTCTGTGCCTATATCTTTTTCCAGCTTATTATATTTGAAGAACCTTGTGTTTACATTTTTATCTACTTTATAGATTACAAGACTTACTTGATGACTGTGCATACCATGATCAAGCAATTTCAAGTTACTTTTAAATTGTTTCACATAGCTGGTCTATCTTTTTAACAACTAAATATTAACGTTAAGGTGGTTCTTTCACATTTGCATATTTTAAAAACAAAAGATTTCTAGAGGTCTAGTATTGTTGCAATACTGCATTATGGAACAATATATATAAACTGTAAGGCATCTGTAGATTCTGTTCCTGCACAAATCATTGGTAAGAAAGTAAAGCCAAATTTCCAGGAACATAGATGCCCAAGACAGTAATTAAGGAAAAATGTATTAAACAAAATAAATGTATTTATCTTCATTTAAAACATCAGACAGGGACATAGAGGGGAGGGGGAAGCACTAGATAGATGACGGTAACGTGTTTCATGCCTTAGTCGCACACTGATAAAATGCCACTAAGGCATGAAATTTCCCAGCCTGATGCTTCAAATTAAGAAATAAAGGTATTTTTAAAATATTTTTCTTTATTGCTGTTTTGGTCATTTTTTCCCTATCAATTCAGCTTTTATATCATGTCAAGATTTTTTCTTTCTTTAATACTGAAAAGTGACAGAATGGTGAGTTTACTCCATCAACAGATGTTTTGCATATTATGTAGAAAAAAAAGGAGATGCTCCAGGTTTACTTATCGCTATAAATGCTCCTAAAGCACGCATACAGATAAATTGTATATTTAATTGCTTTGCTGAGAGTTGTGATAGCATAACTTACCTGCAGCTTCTTGCTCCAGCACCGATTAGAGATACTACTTCATTAACAGCACATTGGTATCAGTTATGGATGGGCTGGCTAAGTGGCAGAGAAATGCACTAGAATGGGAAGGCACGCAGGCAAGGGGTTTTTCGCCCACTGGGATATTTCCTACAGACGAGGATGAGTATTTATGAAGTTCATGGAGATGTTTGCACGTGGATCTTTAAACTATAATAATTCAGTCTAAAGATCCATCTGTGTAAATAAGATGCATTATTTTAGTTCCAAATTACATTTTAGTTGCATAAATAGTTATTATTAAGTCAACTAAAAGTTCTTAGATCAGGGCTCCTCCTGGCCACACACTAACTAATACCCCTAAAATTAAAATGTCCCTCTTTGTGCATTTGAAATTTCTTTTTAGA